AAAAAAGAGTTTGTAAAGTGGCCGGTAAATATGAAGTTTAGAGCGGGAAAGACACCACAAATGGATGCAAATTCGTGTGGAGTGTTTATTTGTTTTTTTGCCAGATTGCTAGCTGAAGGTTATGAAGATGATGAGATATTGGATATATTGTTTAATCATAATGTAATTGAACATTATCGAGAAGTAATGGCCTCAGAACTTTGGGAATTTACACAAGAGTAAAGTTGCGATCCAAATCACTTTTTGAATTACGATATTACTACATAGTTTGGGCCTAGGAATCGTGATTTCCTTCATAACTAAACCCTAAATATATATCCCGTTTTCAATTAAATTAATAAATACAGCATGCGCGCATTTAATATTAAAACTAGCTAGAAACGAGATTTATAAATAGAACAGGATTAAGCCGTTCAAAGTTGATTAGTTGATTAATGTCAATATTTGGCTCAAGCGGAAGAGAGAGGAAATTTAAACATACAGAATATGCCCTAGAATATTTGATTAAATTTTATCGGTCATTCCCTAGTACCGCCACCAAATTCCATCTGCACGTGATATATGGTTATAGGTTAGTATGGTACGTCCATAAAATTGCTCAAGGAAAATTTTTTAGAACGCGAAAAGTCGTTTCTTATGCGGATGTTTTGGAAATAAGTTATTTTGACTAAACGGACGAATTTCCTGATCGTGTAATGTTACATTTGATCTCGAAATGTTATTGGGTTTAAGTCACGTGTGGTGTTTTTTGGTAACGATAACCTGATGATTTTCGTACATCGGTTTCGTGTAATATCACGTACACAACAAATAAACGCATTTCATATTTTAGGTACGTACGTACGTACGTACGTAGCTGTTCCACAAAATTTTTTCCACCCCTTGAATAACGGCCAATCGAATTTCAGGATCAGGTGTAACATGATTAGGGCTAGCGATCACAAAATCTGCGCATAAACTTGATACTTATTGCATAGCATATGCGATTGCGAATTTTACATATTAAGGCTAATCTCGCATAATTAATAGTGCATAACCCATTTATATTACAACGATAGTAACATATCTTAAAACTACTAACCAAAGTAATCAATAATATTGTAAAATAAATAGTAAATCTGGCCTTAAGATAACATTACGCAATATGTTAACGGACCTTTTGTGTAGAAAAAGAACTATGGCCCACACATTTTTTTCATTTTATTATTTATTTTATTAGTTTTAATATTTATTTGTTATTATTACATTCTCATTACACTATTACAGTCCGGGGATATACCAAATTTGGGGGTCGTCTAAAGCCGTGTCCATCACGTGACCTAAAGCCAATAGAATTGTTTATTTTGATCG